ATCGGAAAATGGAAATAAGAAATATAGTTGGGTTTAACCACTAATTATACGGAATCCGAGAGCTGATAAAATAGATTTAGTAATGATTATAGGTTTAACGAGTTTACAAGATGTTAGAGAACTACTCAAACGAACAATACTAACGAAAGAATTGACAGTTTTGAAGCAGGTAAAGGAAAAAAATTAGCAGAGAGTGTATAACAACAATAACTATAATTAATAATAGTAATAATCATAAATAGAGATTTTATTATGATTTGTGAATCCATCAAATGAGTGAAGAATTGGATTGGAGCAAGAACAAATAATATAACAGAATAACACAAATTTATTACATTTCGCGGTTCCTCATCAGATGCTTACAATCTAAGCATGACAGTACTAAACACTGTAAAGCCAGCTTATATACTTACTATCATGATATCAGAAAAGTTCTCATCAATGAATATCAATGAAGAGGTCAGTAAATATGAAATAACTGTAAAAGATATTTGTATGTTAAACAATGTGAATATTTCTAGGTTGAATATAAGAATATTCTAGAATACAGAACTAGGGAAATAGAAGCAGAATAACCTGGAGATGAGATATTACTGTTATAGTTATGTAACTCTTAAACAATTAACTAACTGATCCCATTCATATTTGTTTCGTTCCAAGATAATAACTATTAATTTTCACTTCTTATGTGATTGGTACCCAGTTAGTCAATCCATTTTATTCTACTACATTAATTTTTCTTGTTTTAGTCAGTGATAAATTGATAACTGTTTCTTTTTGAACATTTTAATTCAGTTTGTATTTTTTTGATTGCTACTCCGTTAATGAAGCGTAAATAAGTAGTTTTTCTATGTTTGTTAGTAATTTTTGAAGACTGACGAATGTCAGTTATATGATGGTTATCAATTTTTGTCTGAGATTTCAAATTGTTTAGGAATTTGAAAATATAAACATGTACTCTTCACTTGGTTCTCTCAATGTATGTGTTTAGCACGTATATACAAATCGGTAGATGCAGTTAAAGGTCTATTCTTTCATTTTATATTATATTTCAACACGAATTTCAGCAGCTGAAACGAAGCTATGAGAAAAACGAACTCATTATATTTAAGGTGGTGCACACATTTTCTTAGCTCTACACCTCTACAGTACAAGAAAAACAGTGATCAAAACTCATAGTTATCGAATACTTACTACATTTTCTACGTATATAGTTCGAGAAGAACATATTTAGGACGAATGGATACGTTGGAAAGTTTATAAATAAATACATGGTCACGAAGGTTAGGATAGGCAAAATACAAACAGTGAATCAAAAATCCCTGTTCATTCCCTTACAATTCAGAGGATGGAGCCAATGAAATATTAATTCACAGATTACGTATAACAAAAAAATATCCAACGCCAAAAACTACGACTAGTGTTCTCTACGCGCCCAATGGTGACGCAGAGGCCAAAAGATGATTTACTTAGAATGAACACTTTGTTTGTGTTTATCAATTCGACTGCTATTGGGTAGCAAGTTATATTGGTTGAAGTTCTAGTAATTCTTACGTTCGTGCTCAAAAACACCTGCCACAGTAGCTGAGAAAAGGTCTAGTGAAGAAAATAAACAAATCTATATTGTTCCACTTAGCGAGAACAAATAGTACTAGTATAAACCAACCATTATCAATCATTTATCGGGTCACAGTTTTTTTTTTATCAAAGTGTTTCAAATGGAAGGACCTGTGGCCATTCGGATTGAAAAGATCTTCAACAGCTTCTCTGACTTCGGCCAACTTCAGGGCCAATTAATCAATAGTTTTCTTAACTGCTGAATGACCTAATTTGACCAAAGCAATTACAGCCTTTTTAGTCAAGTATAAACAATTTTGTCATCTTTTTTCACATATATTTGTATTATTATCATTATCATTGCTCTAACATCACTAATAACCTAACGAATACATGATTAATCTAGCCTCAAGATGTAACTGCCGGAGTTCTTGTGAGAAGCCGTGATCAGTCGGTCACTGTCAGATATGAGAGAGATGTCCACCTCAGACAATTGATGAAGGGTCGCCAAAGATCATGGAATGATTAAAGTTAGACATTAGCACCGTTGGATGCCGATTCCAATGGTCTGGATGTTGGGCGTTTGCAGGCGAGGCCGAAGACTCTGGCTTCAAGCTCCGCGTGAGGGATCATGGATGCGCACTGTTGAGGAGTCTCATATTAGTTCAAAACGGCCATCCAGTGCTTCCAGGCTTTCGGTGTTGGTCTAGTTTAAATCGACTCATTATTTCAACTGTGAAAATACTACAATCTCCACAAATCTCCTTACCGGTAATCTACTTAGCACTCACTCAGATTTATTATTTTTTTTACTACTTTCATATAACTTATTACACAATATAATCTTCCACTAAACATTTAGTCGAATTTGTAATTGTATTATTATTTTTCTCACTCTATCTGATCCATATTTATTCTGAACATGAATCTGATAACTTCATTCAACGTATAAGTTGATTCAGGTTTAACACTGCATTCAATTTCCATTTATTTTACAATCCTAAATTTATATGTCATTACTATAAACGTTATACTTTGCCTTAAACCTGGCCACTGTTTAGACTATTAATTTGGCGATAAAATTGTAGAACCTGAAGAGAATTTATTAGTGTTAGTGTTATCATATTATTCTACCTCAATTAATAGATCGACTGTTTTCAACGTTATTCCAATCAGCATCAAATCTTTTCATGTCCATTTACTGGATCAATGCAAAATAGTTATGTTTTGCTTCTGAATTCTAATGTGGCTTTAACTACTCACTATTATCTGAGGTTTGAAGCTACAAAGTTTATCTACCGAACAAAATGATAATCTCTATGCAAGGTTTAAAATTATAGATCAATAAATATTATCGAAATCGTTCGTCATGTTAACAGTGGCCATTCAATCTATGAAGAACCAAATAAATCTTATCATCCACCTGTCATTTCAACATAATTATGATTCCTTACCCCAAATACTCCAAAAATAAACTATCAACTTGTATTACTAAGTCATATAATCAATAAAACATCATCCAGATAATTTAAAAGAGTGATTTAAACAGGAAAACAATATCTGAACAATAGACTCTCATTTAATTTGTTAATCGTCGATAGACTACAGTTGTGGTTTTAACGGACTCAATCTAACAGCTAACAATTTTTCAAATTTCTCATATCCGGTCATCAAACATAATTAATGAGAATAAGCATAAATAGTTCAGCATATGTACAGGATAATTCGTTTTGACACTGAGATTATCAACTGTTTTGAGTGTTCGCATTACAATCATAACGTTTAATAACCATGACAGCTTTCAAGTTTTGCGATTCAAGATATTTAACTTCTTATTGGCCTAAATTCAATATATTAAAATGATGTCATATGTCACATTTATAAGATTGTATAATTATTTTTTTCAAAAAAGTGTGCTAGACTTCACGAGGAGTCACATTACTGGCCTAATATAACCCTGTAAACTTTCAAGAAAACCGTAATAACGGAGTCGAAAACAATGTTTTCAGCGTCACACAATGATGTGTATTCCGTTAATCAAACATGTGCTAGTTGTGGAAAATCACCGATAAAATTATACGATAAGATTGTATTGGATATATTATTTGTTGAATGAAATTTCGTTAACTGTCAAATTTCTATTACTAATAAAAGTGAACAGTCAAAACTAAATCCCAAACGAATTCAACTAACCAACATGACTATACGAGTCATGAATATAAAGAGCATCTCAGTATCCATTTTCTCATTTACCAAGCTTGTAGAATTTTATCTAAACCATGAACTGTCCCATTGTAACAGTGATATTTCGATAAATAAGCTATCGATTCTGTCTACACATGACATCAACATTCTAATTCATTTTTATATAATTTCTCTAACCATAAAATTATTAAACAACCGTAAACTATTTTGGAAATTCCACTGTCATTCTTAAGTACAGTAGAATTTAACAAAATATGAAACTATATTTTTAACAGAACTAGAAATCCAAGCACAAAAACTATAAATCAAAAGAAATAAGCAGAATCGAATAATAAAAAGTATGAGAGCATTAATTGCAAGGTAGAGTGAGACATAAAACAGATGCAACCATGTTGTTAAGATCAATTTTAACCAATATCATTGTAGTCTCTTATCAATTATGAAGTCTATATTTTCCACCATTATATATTATTCATTGATTCAAGTGTAATGAGAATTACTAGAAATCTAATTAAAATAAACATATTCTGATACTTTAGCAACGATATCATGTTTATTGGGTGAACAATTATCATAATTACAAAGAAAATCTACTATTCAAGTAATTTAATGATATACTTTTGTCTAGAGATTGCGTAATAGTAATAAATTATATGATTGAACGAAGCAAACATCAAAGATACAATTACATAGAATCTAGTCAAATAAGTTTTGGAATTATCCATATTTTTGAGGATTTAATATGTAAAGATTTTTTAAAGGACTTATTTATATTCATAAGACTATACACAATTTTTATGAACGTTTAAAAAATAATATGAAATGTAATGGAGGTGTGTTCCAATGGTCATTAAAGTTTTAATCCTATACTCATTATTCCTTGTCATATAATAGATTTGGAATGAAAAATAAAACTTAAACCCCTTATAAAATTGTACAAGTTAATCGTATTTCTACCATACCTGGATGATGTAAACATAATGTAGTTGAGTATCAGTTGCATATTGGATATAATCAATAAATATTACAATAGTTAATAAGTTTGCCTGTTACTCAGGTTTCTTTGAATACCTGATTCATGCATTATACTAACAATTTAGAATGAAAGAAATAACCTTTCAATCCCTAAATTAAAATACGCATTAAACATGAATTCAGCAATCTTTTTTTCGAATTCAATGAAAAAAAATTACTTTTGGTAAATTCTATACAATAATATTAACAATCTATGAACTTACCCTGGATCATTTGAATCGGCGGTAGATTCTATGACAAGAGATGTTTGTCGTTTAGTTAGTGCTAGTTTTGTATATGATTCAGTTAAACTTTCTGTTGTTGTCGTTGAAGTAGTTTCCGGACATAACGCTTCACCATTACTACTACTTGTTGTACTTGTTCCATTACTATTCATATCACCAACAGCTGAATCATCTGATGGACTAGCACTTGGTTTTGGACGATTAAGAGTCATTTCGGATAAATATATATATATATATTTTAAAGTTTGATAATATTAAGTTCCCAAAATGAATTTAATTTAAAGAATTTACAAATCCCAGCACGTGTTAGTTATAATAATTGTTATGAATAATGATGAAATTAGTTAAATCTATTTACACAACAATTAGAAGCATGAAATAACTACGCCACTAAATAGTAAATACTACAAAGCAACTAATACGCTGATAACTATAAGCGTATTATAATATACATATATATATATATGTAATAAGTGTTCTTATTTTGTAAAGTCAAATAAATGGATGCATTATAATTAAAAGATAAATACAACCAATCATTAGACAGGAATTTCATAAAATGTCATGAATTCTAAAATATTACTGGTTTATAATGATGTAGTACAGTTAAATATTTTCAATGGATTAAACCAATCATAATTCATTAAAATCGAATGTATTTAACTAAACAACTTATATGAATGGAAAATGAATTTCAAATATTGAAAAATGAATAGAATTTCTATTTGAATAAAATTATAAAATGTTGTAAAACATTTTCTTGATCCAAATAGAATTTACAATAGAGTTCAGAGATCAGTAAGATGAAAAATTTTAAGTTATACACACTAATTTTCGTGAATTGAAGTCAAACATTAATATCATTGGATACCGGCTCAGTGATCTGAAAATTAAGTGCTCGCGCGCGAGAATGATAGGTCCTAAGTTCGAATCCCACGAGGCAGGATCGTGGATACACACTGCTGAGGAGTCCCACAATAGAACAAAACGGTCGTTCAGTGCTTCCAGGTTTTCTATGTTGGTCTAGCTTCAATTGACTCATGATTTCAGCTATTGAAAAAAATAGGTTGAATTTAGATACAATTAATCAATATATTTTTTGTATCTATGGTTTGCTATATTTTAATAACTAAGGTAACATTCCCTAAATAATATTAATAATAGTATCATGAAATATTCGGATTATACACATGATGTCATTAGACTAGTAATGTTTCGTATAAAAACGGAAGTATTTAACGACCATAGAGCTTCACGTGAAACAGTTTCTAAAATGTTTGATATATATTTATATCAAAGTTGACATAATGATTCATGTTTGTTTTACTAATACAACGATATATTATCAAAAACTTGTATCTTCATACTTGATATTTCCATTCGCATCGTTTGTCAGAGCGGCTTCAGTTGAATGACGTTTGTTCGTCAAAAATTACTTCAAAAACATCAAAGAACTGGTATGAAACACTAAGAAATTACATTATCTAGTGATGATGTGTTTTGTAAGCAACTCTAAATTCAATAAATATTAATAAAGCACCAGATCATGTTTTTTAAGAGTTCAGCTATTCTATTCACTTATAACTAATCAGCAAATTATATTTATTTGTCAAGAGAGTTCTTACGTACTTACGCCTGTTACTCATCGTGAAGGAGCATAGGCCGCTCACCAGCATTCTCCATCCAACCCTGTCCTGAGCAATCCTTTCCAGCTCCTTCCAGTTGTTATTCACCCTTTTCATATCTGCTTCTATTATCCGACGTAATGTGTTCATTCGCCTTCCTCTTTTATGCTTCCCTTCATGATTCCAAGTTAGGGCTTGTCTCGTGATGCAGTTTGACGATTTCCGTAATGTGTCCTATCCATTCCCATCGTCTTTTCCTAATTTCTTCTTCAGCTGGAAGTTGGCTTGTTCTCTCCCACAGAAGGCTGTTACTGATGGTATCCGGCCAATGGATGTTGAGTATCTTGCGTAGACAACTATTTATAAATACTTTTACATGTTTGATGGTGGTTGTAGTAGTTCTCCAAGTTTCAGCTCCATACATAGAACTGCCTTGACGTTCGTATTGAAGATTCTCACTTTGATATTGGTTGAAAGTTGTTTTGAGTTCCATATGTTCCTCAATTGTAGGAATGCTGTACTTGCTTTGCCAATCCTTGCCTTTAAGTCTGAATCTGAACCCCCCTGTTCATCAACGATGCTTCCCACGTATGTGAAGGATTCTACATCTTTCAGAGTTTCGTCATCAAGAGTGATTGGATTGCTGTTCTCCGTTTTGAATTTGAGGACCTTGGCTTTCCCCTTGTGTATATTGAGGCCTACTGATGGAGAGATCACTGCTACACTGGAAGAGAGTTCTTGATTTTACTAAAATTTTAACGTCTCGTATACTTTTCAAGTCAAAACAATCTTTAAGTAAGCCAATATCAACTAAAAATTATTGCACAATTTTTAAAGAATCATCGAGGGAAGTTTATCCTTATTTTGAAGCAATCAATAAACACAATACCTAAAACTAAATTTCAACTAATGATAAATGGTATTTTAAATAGTTCTGAAGAACTATGTGTAAGTTTTATTTCAATTATCACAAAAATAAAAAAACGAATATGAAAATCAAATTATCAACTTGAATCGACCACATTCATCATACAATTTTCTTATCAAAGTCAGGTTAAGTTAATAAATCATTTAAAAATTAATAAGATTCATGCCATTATGAGGTTATAGTAAACTTGAAGTCAAGAATGGCGGTGATATATATATATATATATACATATATATATATATATATGTATATATATATATATATATATATATATATATATAGATAGATAGATAGATAGATAGATAGATAGATAGATAGATAGATAGATAGATAGATAGATAGATAGATAGATAGATAGATAGATAGATAGATAGATAGATAGATAGATAGATAGATAGATAGATAGATAGATAGATAGATAGATAGATAGATAGATAGATAGATAGATAGATAGATAGATAGATAGATAGATAGATAGATAGATAGATAGATAGATAGATAGATAGATAGATAGATAGATAGATAGATAGATAGATAGATAGATAGATAGATAGATAGATAGATAGATAGATAGATAGATAGATAGATAGATAGATAGATAGATAGATAGATAGATAGATAGATAGATAGATAGATAGATAGATAGATAGATAGATAGATAGATAGATAGATAGATAGATAGATAGATAGATAGATAGATAGATAGATAGATAGATAGATAGATAGATAGATAGATAGATAGTCCTAGCTTATGTCTTATTGAGGATGAAAAAATTATTTACTACTGAAAATCTATGTTCATTACTTATAAGAAATAACATTTATCACATCTAGTTACTGACACAACAGTCAATGCCAGTGGTTAGTTGTAAAAATGTTTGACAAACATGTTATATGACCTATCATCTTAGTTATTTATATTTACTTTTGAATAACCAGTGTTGATTATTGTATGTCTGGCATTCAGATAGAATGTTTATATGTATGTACACGTTAGGGTTACATAAAGAGCTTATGAAAAAAATTGATTCTACGTATACTAATTAATGTGCATACTTGATATTTTGAGACAATTGATTTTTAAAAAGTTGAATGAAAATAACTGAATTTCATTGTTATAAATTGGCAATATTTTTTTAGAAATTTCACAGATTGAAATCATGAGTCAATTGAAGCTAGACCACCATGGAAAACCTGGAAGCATTGGACGGCCGTTTCGTCCTAGTATGGTACTCCTCAGCAACGCGTGTCCACGATCCCGCACCTCGCGAGATTCAAACCCAGGACCTATCAGTCTCGTACCAAGCGCTTAACCAACTAGACCACTGAGCCAGGATCCAATGGTGTTAATGTATAAATTTAACCAACCCACGAAGTTGCGCTACCGTATACCATTGTCTTCAGTGAGTTGATATCTCACTGATAGGTCCTGGGTTCGAATCTCGTGGGGTGAGGGATCGTGGATGCGCACTGCTGAGGAGTCCCATACTAGGACTTTCAGTGCTTCCAGGTTTTCCATGGTGGTCTAGGTTCAATTAACTCATGATTTCAATATGTGAAATTTCTAAAATCTCCACAAACCCGTTCTGATAATAATTTTTCACGTGACAAAAATACAAACAGTTTGTTTGCTTAATAACTTGACGATTCTCTGTAAACATTCAATACACTTCAACAACATTATCAAATCACCAATCTTTACTAGAAAAAGAAAATTTTTGATAAAAAAATGGTCATTCAGTATCAGATTCTTCATTTTGTAAGCTCTATACTACAGTTATAGTTCAGCAAGGTCTCGGTGATAAATAGGTTACAAAATCTTTAGTAACAATGCAAATGTATAGCATATTTAGTATGTTTTTATTTTTGAAAGCCTTCTTGAAATTCGTACATTCATCCAGTGAAGCGTATATCATAGTTTAGATGTTTTTTTCCTTATGTTAGCTTTTATTCTATTACATAATTATCTTCTTAGGTTGGCGTTTATGAGAAGGGAAGTTTGGTGCAGCACTATGTTAGTATCTCAGTGGTCAATGTGCAATAACATAGTGTAATCCAGCTAGACTGTAATACATAGTGCAGTTGATATTGAGAATTGTTTCTCTAACCTGATAATGAATAGTCTTTTATTTAAATAAGTCTAGTCAACATTTCAATTTATACAAAAACGAAGTTAATATAAACTATTAAGGTGTGGACTCGACAACAGAATAGTAGTGTATTCGCCATGAAACATGATTTTTTACTCTGGTCAAAGTGATCTCGTTAATTTGTACTAATGAGAAATACCAAACCAAGAAACTGATCTTCAGTACTTAGTTACGGTTTGTGATATTCAACCTGAGACTTATCTCTGAAGAAAATTATTTTCTAACCATATTGTTACTTCAAAAAAGATATATAGACAAATGCTGTAGACTTCATAAACTACCACTCGTTATAATTTGAATACATTCGATTATATAAAATTTGACTTTGCTTTAGTAAGTAGGAGTAAATGAAATGATGAGAAAGGTATGAATATGTTTATTTTTATACATATTGTGACTAATTGAACGATTGAGATTAAGGTTTTAACAAAGAAACTCATTAAAAAAGATTTACTAATTACAATAGTTGAGATCATGAGTTAATTGAAGCTAGACAATCATGAAAAACC